CGACGAAACAGTTTGTCACAGCCCCTCGTTTGTTGTCCTCTTCTCTCTCTCTGCCTACGGTTTACCGGGCAGTTCTGTTTGTGACTATATATGACGATATATATATATTGTCACAGCCCCTCGTTTGTTGTCCTCTTCTGTCTCTCTGCCTACGGTTTACCGGGCAGTTCTATTTGTGACGATATATATAAACAGTTTGTCACAGCCCCTCGTTTGTTGTCCTCTTCTCCCTCTCTGCCTACGGTTTACCGGGCAGTTCTATTTGACGATATATATAATTTTATTATATTATAAATAAATAAATTTAGTAAAGAATCTCGATCTGACCCTGAGCCAAAAGTTGATCAGTTTATTTTTCTGGTTAACATTGTTTATAACTTTTTTTCAGTTTTTTTTTTTTTTTTTTGCAGGGACCTTCCCTGGTCCTTGCACGGTCGGGCCGCTTGGGAAAACAAGGTAACCCAGGCGGCCTGGCTGGTAGCCTAGGTCTGATGGCTATTTGTTGGTAATATTCCTAAAATTTTAAAAATTTACACCTTCGTTGGGTATTTGTTGATAAGAATTCCTAGTCTAGTAGTGGCTTATTATATTTGTCGAATTTTCATTAATTTTTATATTTTCCTTTGTGTGTGACAAATGTGATTCACTGGCTTCTACGCAAAGAAGAAGGGGGAGATAATTATCGTATCATCAATTCTGCACGTCATCACATATTGTCTCGAATCAAACGTGGATGGGCGTGATGAGATAAACGATGACACAGACGCTCCTATTTCAGCACAAATTGTGAATTTTGCAACAAAGTTCCTTGAAGTTTCTTGCAGGCAACGAGTTGCTTTAATTAACGAGTGATGATGAACATCAGGATCCACCTGAGAGGCTTTGTAACGGAGACGAGAGATGCAAAATTTTTGAATCGGTATGTCATATTCTTCCTTTAATGAGAAATTTGTGACTTGCAATTCTTCATCAGAGGTGTTTTTTATATTTTTCCACCAAACCTTTTTGCAAGAGTGCACTTCAAGAATGCATTTGCAACATTGTATTGCAATTTACCAACTTTTTATTATTTTTTCCTACGCTACCAGAGTGGCCTGCGGTCACTTGCCCGGCCGGGCCAAAAAAATAAAAATAAAATTTTTTGATTTTGCTTTTAAATTTTAAATTTGGTTAAGCGAAGCCGTTACCATTCCATTTTTTTCGAAATTGATGTGACCTTGAAGCAAAAGTTGTTCAGTTTATTTTTTTCCATAGCATTTTTTTTTTTTTGATTTTTTTTTTTTTGCTGGGACTTTCTCGGTCCTTGCATGGGCTGGCCACCCGGGACCCAGGCGGCCCAACCTGTAGCCTATATTTTTTCCTAAAAAAAAAAGTTTCCTCCAATTGTTTTCCATCATTTTTTGTACTAATTGTTTCATATCAATACCGGACCTGCCAGACCTACCGGACCTGACGTCCGCCCGGACATGCGGACACAAGCGGTCCGGACTTGGTTCCGGACGTCCGGTAGGTCTGGCATGTCCGGGCGGACGTCAGGTCCGGTAGGTCTGGCAGGTCCGCTTGTGATTGGTTGTACTAAAACCTTAAACCCTATACATACCCTGCCACAAATCTTCTATAGCAGTCTGTGTGTATGTGTATAGCTGGAGGCCTACCGTCTTCACCCGAATACAACGCCCGACCATTATGGTTGTATTTGGGACAACTTTCCGTCCAAATACAACGATAATGATCGGGCGTTGTATTCGGGTGAAAGTGGTATTTATGTATTAGAGACTAGGCGGGATTATCATTACGTGTACTGCCTGCTAGTGTGTGTGGAAATGTAGGGATGCGAGGTTGGTTTGGCTTGGGGTGTTATTGTGTGTGTAAAAATAAATGATGTTTAGCATGTGCAAAGCCGATATGGAAAAAGTTCAGAAAGACTAAACAAACCAAACACACCGGTGGAAGAAATCTCTAACCCGGAATCAACTACCTCGCCCCAGATCCCATCCCCTCCCAACATCACTTTCACGTCTCCCGCCAGCGATAACCAACTCAAGCCATCCATAACCCCTTTGATTTCCACCCTCCACATCTTTGACAACCTTATTACAGTTATTCTTACAATGCACTTCTACGTTGTCAATAAATACGAATAATATATATAACTATCTCTTAGATTGAATAATGGTATTAATATTTTCTGCATTGGCAGATTTTGAAGGGAAATTTTCGCAGTATAACATGAAAAAAAAAAAGCGGAGTTGTTTTCGAGAAGAAGATCCCATCTCCTGAGGAAGGGACAACATTTTTGAACACGCTACACGAATTCTTCAAATTCAGTTTGGCAGACTGGAATGTGGCTGCAGCAATGACTTTGTAAGTTTATGTTTTCCTGGAGGTAGAAGTCCGCGTATTAGTACTGAATATAGATTCTCCCACAAATTTGTTGTATTTTTTTTGGAAATTTTGCTTTATTTCTTTATCAAAAAAAAAAAGAGCCTATCAATATGATGCCTTTGTTGTACCTCACAAAATACTAAGGGCTGTGTTATAGCTATGAGTAGTATTCAGAGTAGATCCTCATGAATGAAGGGTGTGTATGCATCGTAGGAGGAAGGGATTGAGGTTGAGAGTGTTCATTCAAGATTCGGCTATGGAAGATACTTAACTGAGTTGAATGTGGGCTGCAAAGGTGGTGCTGACGAGTGGTGACCACATTGATGACCTGGAGGTTATCTGCAGGAGTAGCGCTGATTCACGAAAAGTCATATTGATGAGTTGATAAGAGACTGGTGTAGCGCTGATGAGCGCTGGACTCAGGGGAACTTTGAAACACTTTGTATTCATAATTCTAATAATATAAGCAGTGAAACTCGGTCCCCTTTTCCTCTACCTTTGTCTATGGTTGATACTATTGATCGCTGCGTGTGAAGATGATGCATGATATGTACACATCTGCGTGAGATGGTCTCCAGGACCCATGCAAAATTTTTGGTATCGGAGCTGATGCTCGCTACTCTCATAGCGCTGGCATGAGTAAGGCCGGCGAGACATGGTGATGGAGGAGTGGAGGGAGGAAGAGAAGAAGAGTTGATAGTGGGGAAGCAGGTCGAGGAAGAAGAGGCAAGGATTACTTACCTGGAGCGTGCGGAGCGTCGTGGAGTATCATCRGCGGCATCTTCAAGAAGAGAGAAGCACCTCCTTTCCCTGAACCTGCGTGTATGTGTGTGTCCCCTACCTTCTCTCTCTCTGACCCTCTGAAGGTGACTGCTGCTGTTCTGGTCAGAGTCGAAGTCTGGATCTGGATTGTCATAGTTGTTAGGTCTGAGTTGTCAGAGTCTGATGATCCAAAAGTGATGTGTCAGGGACTGGTCATACTAAGTGGTCCAGTGTTCTGTGAAGTAGGAGTAGCTTTCTTCTCCTACCCCTCTTGATAGGCAGGCTGGGAATTGTCATTAAGGACTAAAAAAATCGATGTGGGAGTGGCTATATGCCACGTCAGATAGCATGTACCAAGCAGTATACAAGTGATATTGAGCAACGACAGGGCCTGCTAAGCCCGAAAGGAAAGAAAAGAGTGAACGCAGTATATCTGCCTGGTTGGATAAGTGAACCATTTGCATCTGACAATCTGTGCTGTACTCCATACCTGCATCAGACAACCAGCCCCGTTAGTATATAAAAAAAAAAAGAGGACATCAGAAACACATTGCCGAAGGTTGATCCAGGGAGCCAGACAGCATATCAACAAGTAGTTACTGATTTATTGATTGATTACCGCAGCACCTTCTACACTTAACAAAAAAAAAAAAAGTGTACAAGTACTCCATTGCCATAAGTCAATACTTAGTCAGGTGATTGGGATAGTACCTTGGTGATCCGGTGGAGGACCACCTGTGCCGGCCATCACCATGGATGACTATCCCATCCAGGGTCTCTTGGCCCTCTCCGTTTTGTTGGGGCCGTTGTTCAGGTTCATGTTTCCGTTGGGGTTCGGACGTGTGTGCACGTCCCGCATGTTGATGCGATCAGGAGCAGTCAAGTCTGGCCCCACACCTAGGAATTGAAGAGCATAGAAGAAGAAGAAGAAGTAGAACAGGAAGAAGAACAAACCTTGCAAAGACGTCGTCACGTTAATATTCCAGAAAGTAGCACAGCCAACCGACTCCCCGTTGAACCTTTGAACTGGGCTGACCAATATTATTACTCCAGYGAAATYTTAAAGGAGTCTRAAGAAGAACGTGATCTGTTYCTTGCTAAGTTAGCTACGGTAAATGACACCGTTGAGCGGAACCTGATGATGGARGAAAAAAGGGCAGAGTTGAACAGTAAACTGCTAGCCACCAGAAGACAAGAAATTGATGAAAAGAAACGGCTGCAGGCAGAAGGGGAGAAATTACAGAAAGCTCTAGAGGAGCAAAAAGATAAACCCTCTGCGACTGAAGAACAACTGGCACTGCTAAGGGAGGCGCCGCGCTCAATACAAGACAGGACATGGCCCTTTTGTAGCCCAATTAGATATGTCTCCGAGCATCACTTCCATGTCTGGGTCGCCTTTATTAGTTCATAAGTAGGAATTATCTAGTACCCTTCTTGGACATATTTCATGGTACCTTCTAGCTTTCTTCTACCCCAGCCGTAGGTAACTATTGGCATTCCTGACTGCTTGCATGCTTTCAGTTACTATACTCAAAGAGTATTTCTATTGTATCTATGCTCTTATGTCCTAGGCTGGGCTGCCGCCCGACAAGGCATTCCCGGGCCAGTTGGGCCGGGGGGGATCACCCGGAAAAACCAGGCAGGTAAAAAAAGAGGGAAGGATCCCCCCAAAAATGAAACTGACTTCAGGACAGGACTGCGCTCGACATGAGCAGTCAGAATCCGGCCTTACCTTCCATTTCGGTGGTGGGTCACCCAGGGGTGTTTGGGGGGTATAAAGTTACTTTAAACAGTGACTAGAGGGGTTTAAAAGGGTATATCTTACCTCGTTTCTCCTCATTTATTTTTTTATCTTAAAATTAATAAGGAATTTCGAGGCGACTCTCAGGCAAAAGTTGCTTGTGCTGCAGTTTTACACAACATATTTTTTTTCCAGATTTTCTTGAAATTTCCAAAATTTTAATTGTTTAATATTATGCACTGGGGCTGCCCAAGACCCTGCCCGGACCCTGCCCGGCCAAGGCCGCCTGGGAGGGTACCCAAGCGACCTTCCCCCAGCTGGGCCGCCTGGGGACCAGCCTAGCTTATGTCTAAGTAATATTTCTAATTTCTCTCGTCCTTGAAAATTTTGGAATATCCTGTTGTTTGGGATCAAAGCATCTGGACTAACTCCATTTTGCATTGAATGACTTCGTGTGTGCATGAGCAGGCCAAATGAGAAAGGACCGACACTGTTCCGCAATTATAGCCAATTATCAAGATTTGATGAAGATGACGATCAGGATTTTGCAAAGGCTGCAGCTGAAGAAGAGGCTGCAGTTGAAAAAGAGGCAGTGGCTGAAGAAGAGGCTGCAATTGCAGAAGAAGCTGCAGTGGAAGAAGAGGCTGCAACTGAAAAAGAGGCCAATGAAGAGCAATTTGAGGCAACAGACATGCATAACCCGACTTCCAAAAAAGTATCTACAAGAACACAAGTTGCAAATGATGAGGATGAGGACATTGCTGAAGTTCGGCTGTTTCGGCGACGAAGATCACTAGAAAAGCAGGTTGGAACTCATGTCGAAAGTGTTGCAGATCGTCGGGAGTCACAAGAAGAACGGTCAGCAGAAAACGAGTTTGAACCTGACGACCATGAACTTCAAGACAAAAATGTTGCAGATGCTGAAGATGTTCAACAGTCACAGCGAGAAGGATCAACACAAAATGAGCTTGATGCTGATGTCAATGAAGACACAAATATTGCAGATGCTCAACACCCTCAAGGCGAAGCATCACAAGTGAACAATGGGGATGAAGTTATCGTCGAAGACCTAAGGTCACAAAGTGGCTCACCATCGGCAGAGAAGAATGATATCCTTCGACACAGACGAACTTCCAAGGGAAGTCAAGCAACGACATCGCAGCACAAGCAAACTTGACAAGTTCAACGACATAATGAACAACTCAAACAGAAGAAGACTGGTCGGGAGGCAAAGAATATGCCAGAGTTTAGTAGTGTTGAGGTTGATATGGTTGAAAGTCTTCGAGAGAACAGGAAAAGGAAGCAACCAGATATGGTTGAAAGTCTTCGAGAGAACAGGAAAAGGAAGCAACCATCAACTTCGACTACAAGTGTCTCACGTTCAAGGCAGTCCCGAAGGAAGTAGATGTAGAACTCAGACAATGCAGTAATCATCATTGACGTCTTTTCAATGTACACGCGGCACTGGCATATAGGCAGAGCGGGCGAGTGAGCCAGGATCTTGGCGACACAGACAGTCTGAAGCTGGACAACGACCCTAGCATAAGGGGCGCAACTGTATTACCTGGGCCCCATCTGCATTGGGCCTGGGCGCAGATACTGGGACCTTGACGCAGGCTCAAGGTAGGCCGCTCACACGCGACACTGGCATATAGGCAGAGCGGGCGAGTGAGCTGGGATCGTGGCCATTGCGAGCAAGGCCGGCACGCTGCTGCATTGCGAGAGCGGGTGCTGCGCTGCGCTAGGCTGGGAGGCGGCAGGATGGCGCTAAGCGGTAGGGCGCAGCCTGGGTGCAGGGCGCTGACAGGCATAGCCGGGCTGCATGAGAGCGCTGGAGGAGGTGAGGGCGAAGGTGGTTCTTCAGAAGGTGAAGGGCGCTGTGTGGGATAACAAGGGAGAGTGAGGGAGAAGAGAGAGGCGTACCTGGTGGAGAGGAGGTCAGCATTGGTGTTGACATCATCACTCGTTGGTGGTCAAGTTGTCTGGTTGCTTCCATGCTGTAGTTGTAGGAACAGGCTGTAGAGTAGATAGGGCACCTGGCACCATTCAACAGAGAGAGCTACATTGGGTTATGTTGTTGGTGTTGCCCGATTAGGCATGAACATTGACTCACGATTCTGCTGTATCGTTCTCAAATGGATGGTTATCTTGGTTCCATTGTGCTATCTGCTCTTGCTTTGACTACCTGGACTTAACCGTGATTTGCAATTTGGATTTCAGTGCTTCATCAACATTCATGTTCCTTGCAGTATCGACAACATGTACTTTCTTGTTATATTCTTTCCTGGTCTGCAATCTTGCTGACCTTTTTGTCTGTTTCAATATAGTTTTTTAACAATTTTTAAAGATCCTTTAGAATTGTTTTTTCCCTTTGTATCTTCTCTGGCCCTTGCACGGGCAGGCCGCCCGGACGAACAAGGTGACCCAGGCGGCCCGGCTGGTAGCCTAGTTAAGTACTACAATGGGTCATCAATAACAAAGAGGGGTTATGGTATCTGTATCGTTTTTCTTTCTCTTCATTTTAAACCACCAATAAGTCTCCCTGACAAATTTCGATGACGAAATCGGATTTGTCCACCACGGTACTCTTGAGGAGGTCTGCGGCCTCTGCCTCCCCAAGCCTCCCAGAACTTTTTGGCCTGCATTGCCAACCATAAGGGGATGTGTGTGTGTGTGTGTGTGTGTGTGTGTGTGTGTGTGTGTGTGTGTGTATGTGTGTGTGTGTGTTCGCGCGCCTGTATGTATGCATGTGATTTTTTGATACAAAACATATATTTTTTTTAACAATTTATGTGTCTCTGTGTATCTGTGTGTATGTCTGTATGTGTCTTTATGTGCGCTCATGTGTGTTTGTATGTGTATGAATGTGTGTATGCATGTGTGTGTGTGTGTGTGTGTGTGTGTGTGTGCTTGTATATTTGTATGTCTGTGAATATCTGTCTGTTTGCAGGCTGTTGATTCCCAATTCTCGAACAAGTTGCTATCGACTGTAAGCACTTCCAAGGACGTTAATGGATGAGCCTTGTTGATGTTATTCAAGTGATACAGATTTGCAACGGTCTTCCACGTGATCTACCTGATTTATATCCACGCATTGCTAATGTCATGAACTGCCGTGAAAATTCATGGAGAGACAAGAAGTACGAGGAGCATACAATTGGAGTTGTGATTGAGAAGTTGAACTTTCATGACAACAGTCTTTTCATGAATCCTGTCCTTGCTGCTGATCATGCACTTCATGTTGCAAACTCAGAATATGTTCTCGTACCAGCGATCAAATTATGTGTTGAATGCAAGAGTGCACTTGAATTCAGCACGAAACAATTGCTGCCGTTCTTCTATCCGATGCAAGGAATTCCCGGAAGGGACACAATTTGTGAGAAAAGATGCAATTTGTGTTCCATTGACTATTCTTTTACATATTATACACTTTGGAATTATGAGCGGAGGTTTTATGAGACAGCAGATGAAGGCTCAAGTTGGTTTCAGGTTAACTCCAAGACTGTCGTCAGTTTGACAATTCTTCGTCAACATGATGAACTACTGTAAGATTTCTGATCCCAGTACCAGTGCATTCCTTTTCTTTTTCCATTTTTTTTTATACAGAAAAACACACAAGGCCCTTTCTATTTTTGGGGGCATCAGTTCGATTACTTATTACCAGCAAGCATGAGAAAAAAAAAAGAGGAGTTTAGTAAGCGGTCGACCTTGTCCTTGCAATACTAGTCCCCTGTACAAGGGACGGACTGCTACTGAGCATCCCACCCCCCAAACTTTAACCATCCTTCAGGTTTGCTCCTGCTGGCCGGGAAGCTTACTGCCAGCACCCAGTCACGCAGCGGGAGGATCCGACAACCACCACCTGACTGTCTTCTTCAGCCGCAGGTTCCCCTACGGCTACCTTGTTACGACTTCCATTTTGATCTTCACTTTCCCCTATACTCATGTTCTTCTCCCACGTCTTCCAGATCCCTCTATTGTGTTATCCTCCTCCTTTATCCTCGGCTACCCTACCCTGTTCCCCCAATATAGTGCAATCCTCATTCTTCACCCCTTTTCCTAATTATAATTATACAAATCAGGTTCTGCCCATGGGGCCTATGTTGCTAGTTCTAGCTATGTGGACGGCTAAAGATATCTCATTGTCCAGTCGAGGTACATGGCGCACCAGGAGAAGGCCAAACTGCATTTGGCCTATCTGTGTGTCCCCGGATCAGCAGTTATGTGTACAGGCACCATCTTTCCTAAAACCTATTTTCCTTTCCCTCCCCGGCGTGCCTGCAACGGTGAAGATTCGCCAAGAGAGCTATCTTGATATTCTCCATTGCTCTTTTTTTATGTCTTCAGTGGCGTGGTTGGTCCTTGTCTACAACTTTTGCTGCACAGGGTCCAAATGGCCCATAACACTGATGCTCTGATAACCTCTGCTACCATCATTTTTTCAGGTTTTGGCCTGTTGACTTTCATCAGTCCTCGCAGGAGTATGGCTGGATCGTCCGTTTCCCCCTCAGTCAACTGGCACATCCATATATATGATCTACTGTATATATCAGCTAATCTGTGTAAGTCTGCATTCGTCTACTGTATTATCTGCATCTAGGCTACCAGATTGGTCCAGGACACTTGCTCGGCTGGTCAAAAAGAAAAAAGGTAAAGAATTTCGATGTGACCCTGAGGCAAATATTGCACAGTTTATTTTTCTGCATAACATGTTTTTTTTTTTCTTTTCTTTTTCTTTTTTCTGGGACCATCTTTGGTCCTTGCACGGCTGGGTCGCCCTGGCAAGCAAGATGACCCAGGCCACCTGGCTGGTAGCTTAGATCCGCATCCTATATATGTATTCATACTCTCGTCCTATCTTGTATATGTTATGTACTCTCAACTGCAAATCTCCACTTGGCCTCAACTTTAAATCTGCACTCAACCGCATCTGTAAGCCTATATGAATGCACTGGTACTGCGATGTACTCATACAGGGGAGTCCCCAGGAGGGGGAGCGTAGGGGAGGCATTCCTAGCAGTCCCTTAGGCCGCACATCATTAGGCCATCACAAAAATTCCTATCTCTTTGGTACCCGTTCTCACTTGCTTGTCTGTCTACTAGCCCCCCTAGACTTTTCCTTATTTCTTCTTTTTTCAGAGTGTTTGAAGAATTGTTCCCCTTTGATATAATCCTCGTCCTCTTCAACAAAATTTGTTTTTATCTAATTTCTCATCCTTTTATTCACATGTGATTGTTCTGCAGGTATAAACTTCATTCTGGATTTGRAACAAYAGCCGAAGTYCACAACGATAGAGAAGGGTTGACCAGATTTCTTGGTTTKAGTAACTTTCAGCGTGATATTTCAAAGGAGAAACAGACACAAAGATACCGTTTAAATCGTCAAAGACTTGAAGAAGCGTATTTCCGTTAGAGGGTGTCCCTGTTTTTACAGAAGCATGCCCAACATGTTATTCCACACCTCAACTACGCAATGCCATACGACAACATTTTGGAACAGGTGATAACTTTATTTTTTATTTCTTTTTTCCCTTTCGTGTAATTTTAATAACTTTAATTATTATTTCTTCTTTCCCTTCTTGTAATTTAATAACTAAAAAAAATTGTTTGAATTTCTTGGTGTGGCGAAGTTTCAGGCCCTTTGGGGGATGGTGGGAGGGTGTTCGGTGGTGGTCTGTGTGTGGTTCAAGTTTGTTGCTTGTTAAGTGTTTGTGTATGCTTTGCGGGCTATTTAGGGACTCTTTCAGGGCGGAACTGTTGGGGGGTTGTAAGAGGGTACTATGAAGGAGGTTCAGGAGGTGGGGGGGGGGTTGTTAGGGGAGTGAGTTTTTCTTCGGGTCCCCGCCCGGGGATCCAGGGGTCCAACGATGGGACCCCCCAACCCTGCGAGGGTGTGGGGGAGACTGGCGTCGCTCAGGGGGGCTTGCAGGGAAGGGGTTGCAAGGCTGTGTGGTGTAAGGATGGTGGCAGTTGGGGCCGCTGTTGTGGGGGTGGGATTGCGGGGGTTAGTGTTGTCGGGGTTAAGGTTGCCCAGGGCCGAGGGGTATACCAATGCAGGGGTTGGATTTTTTTATTTTTTTTCTTAACACCCTCCGATGCTCCAAAACCACTATTGCTCAACGATACCGTAGGTTTTTGACCACGGGAAACACGATGAGCAACGTTCCTCGTTACACAAATTTCTCACCTCCTGTCCCAGTGTGATAAACGTAGTTCAGGTGCCGTAGTTGGCAAGTATTTCTGTATTCCTTGTGGGTTATTCAGTGTTGGGGGGTGATGGCCGATGTTTAAGGCGTGATTAGAGTTGCTTGCGGGGTTTGGCAAAAACAGAAAAAAAATTAAGAGCAAGAGTTTAGAGGAACCAGGAAGGAGGTTGTCATAGGTTTGTCAATCGTTTGATCAACGATTTTGTACTAAGCCATGACTACGTTTTTCTGTACTTTGCAAGTGAAATAGATACTCACTCTGGTGCTTATTTTAATGACGCAGGTGCAAGATGCTTCCTGGTATCATCTACTGGAGGAAGCACTCATCCATCCACAGAACTGCAATGACAAGCTCTGTGGAAGATATTGTCAATTCGATGGTCATTTCAAAGTGTGCAGATTGCGTTGTGCAAACAATGATGTTGACTTGTATCAGACGGCGATTGGTGCGATTGTCAAAGGTTGCCCCGAAACTCCGGAGCCAGGAAGAAGATGGTGCTCAAAGCATCTTCCTCAATCTGAGAACGCGGTTGAAGCCGAAGATAACACAACAGATCAAGTTTGGGATAAAGAAATTGAAGTCACAGTGCCAGATATCAAAGAACCAGTTGCATCTCGCACACGGTTCAAGACATGGGCACGAATGACAAATGCAGAGTACATTATTGAATCCCGAACATTCAACGAGGCAAGTACTTTTATTAACATGCTCAAACACAATATACCAAATTAGCATGGTTACCAACCGGATGTTCGGATCCCGATCCAAACAGTCCGGTGTCCGGTGTCCGGGTGCGGTGTCCGGTTCGGAGGGTCCGGTTGGACCCCAATTTCGAAAATTTTGAATTATTTGGGGGGGGTTCCCAGGCCGTTTACCTGGGCCTGGGGTACCCTGGAAAAATAATGCTAATGTTTTTTGAGAACCGACTGCCCAACTGGACAGGCCCTAAAAAGGCCCTCTGTGTGATAACATTGGCACACGAGTTCACTGCTTCGCTCTTATTTGGATAGAATCTTGGTGCATTTGAGTTCTCTGCTTGGTACATGACTATTTGGATTTCTGCATGATTTTGCAACTTGATTTTCTGTCTATCGCCCTCGCTCATATTCCGTGCACTTTTGTGACGTGGGAGAAGGGTCTGGCCGATGGGAGGGGCGATCAGGGATGGGAGGGCGACGAAGGATGGGAGGGGCGAGCAGGGATGGGAGGGCGATGATGAATGGGAGGGCGATGAAGGATGGGAGAGCGATGAAGGATCAGAGAGCGATGACGTCAGACAAAGATGAGTGACATTGGATACTGTGTTGGTGGGGCCTGAGGGCGATGGCATTGGTACACGTGTTCACTGCTTTGCTCTTATTTGTATGGAATCTTCGTGCATTTAAGCTCTGTGTGTTTTTTTTTTTCTTGTTTTTTTTTTTTAATCCGGACAACCGGATACCGACACAGCAAACCGGACTGTCCGGGTCCGGATGTCTGGATGTCCGGTTTCATGTCCGGTTAACCGGACGTCCGGTTTGATCCAGACATGGATCCGGTGTCTAGTTGTCCGGGTCAGGAACAACCATACAAATTAGTGTCATTGTTTGACAACTTAACCATAATGCAGATAAAAAAAACTCTATTCACACATTACAAATGGAAATAAACTAACTGTGATTTGTGGCTTCTGTTTTTGAATGCAGGATTTGTACTACGTTAAGTGGAAGAATGCGCCCTATGCAAAGTCGATCTGGTGTCATGAGAATGATTTTACAGGGAATGATGGGCAAAGGGTTCTCAACGATTTCTTGAAGAAACAATTACCTATCGATTTTTATCAAGGACCTTTAAGCACTGATGATCATCTTGAACTTGAGCAAGAAAGAACCAAGGCAGCAACATTGCAGAGAACATCATGTACTCCACGAAAATTTGATGAGAATAAACGGAATACATGTGGAACTGTTCACTGCTTGTGGTCCTGTGGTTTCATGTTTCCACCAACGGAAATGGTTCCTGCAGAGTCATGTACACAAGTTTGTCCAAATACGTAATGCCAAATTTCCCTAGGTAGCTGGATTAGATGTCCGGGAGTGCCTGCTGCCTAAGTCGTTGTAGTGTTTTCCCTGCCTTGTGGGTTTGTATGTTGTCTAACCTCCCACCTCCCTCACAGCCCTCCAGCCCACTCTCCTTGTTGTCCTTTCCCAGCCCGGTGTGCTTGATGTTGTCAGGCCGCCTGCCTTCCCCTAATGCCCTCCAGCCTATGTGTTGTCTCACTGCTTTCCGTTCTTGCCTTTCGTTTGCCTTCCCCTAATGCCCTCCAGCCTATGTGTTGTCTCACTGCTTTCCGTTCTTGCCTTTCGTTTGATCCTTTATTAGCTGTCGGTTGTTTTTTTTCTTGTCTTGTGTGTTGTTACGTTAAACCAGTGGACCAACTAGGTGCATTATAGGGACTAACTGTTAGGCCTGGATCCTGGATTTTTTTGTGTTTTTAGCATGGCGTTTTATCATGCAGAAATGCATGACGTACCTTGAACGCACACACGAAGGCAACCCCTCGAGGAACGGCCACATGGTGCAGCCCTACGGCGTTATCTGTGACTAGTACTGTTTTAGTGTCATTGTTTTCCACGCATGATGCCACTTTTTTTTTGACATAGGGAGATTGGAATATGTTGTTTTAAACCATCAGTACTTGGCCCAGCTATTGATGCCGAGCCTGAATATGCCCCTGCTCGCCAAGCTTTGTCGAGCCGGGAGGGGGCGGGAACATGTAGGGGACATTTTCTGAATGGCACAGGCACCGCCCCTAATGCTGGACATGCAGCCAACAGCTGGTTCGAAATGGAACAGCCGTTTTCAGTCGTGAGTCAACTCAGGGCGGTCAGAAATGTAGTCAGATGCATTATGGAAACGGTAGCGTGAAAGAAAAAAAAAAGAAACGATGGAAGCATTGATTGCTCCCCGTCTCTCACGGGGAGCACATCAGAAACGGCCAACCATATTCTTCCGAAAAAAAAAATAAGAAAAAAAAAGCAAACGGATCAGTGAGGTACCTATTCTCGTATCACAAGCTCGTGGTCGGCCACGTGAAACAGCGGTCGGCCACATGAAACAGCGCATGAGCAACGGATCAGATCTCAAAGAACCCAAAAAAAAATAAAAATAAAAAATCACAGAACTCGGATCTGTATCTCAACAGTTCAGGGGTGTACAAACTGAACTTGTCGTTGGGAATATTTAGCGTGCAAGGGATTAGATCTCCTTTTTTTTTCATTTCTTTTGTTGCCAAAACAGAAAGAAAAGCCAGCTGTCTGAGGGCCTCGCTGCACTACTCTCCGAATGTGCAAAGTGAGACCGAATCCTTAGCTGGAACATGGAAAGATGCATTCATCGGGAATAGTTTAGCAACATCTTTTATCTGCCCGCCTGCACGCCGTGAGAGGCGGCCCTCTAGCAACTGAAGATCGTTTTCTCACCAATTTTGCCCACCGAGTGGCGGGTACAGCTTTGCTTTTATTTTTTTCCCCAACACTTCGCGTTTTCATGTCTTTCCTTTTTCTTTTCTGGACTGCACAGCTTCCGTTTCCACATGCACGGAATAAACCAGACGGACAACTTGCAGTCCATTCGCAACTTTCCCTGGGCCCAACAGCTTCCTCCCCCATCGCTCTTCCAACCCTCACCCAAGCCCCGAAATTTGTGTAGCGTCAACACTAAGGGCCTGCGGTCGATATATGGGCCAAGTACTGGTGGTTTAATGTTGATGCTATTGTGCTTGTGTGATTTGTCCTTCATTTTAGGCTCCATAATTGAGAGCTTGAAAATGACCTGTAGGTGTTTGTCTGCTTGTGTGTGCAGTTTCCATGGGCTGCAAGGCCGAATGGCCTAATACCCCTTGATACCTGTCCATGCGGCGTTCGTCATGGAGGGTCATTGGGTGGGTCAAACACACACACACACGTACCCAGTACTACCCACACATATACACAAACACACACACATATACAGTCAATCAATTTTTTTATGTATGTCTTTCTTTTTTGGGGTTTTCTCCCGTTTTTTTCTTTTTTTCTCTTTTATTAAAAAATACGCTATATTCTTCTCTCAATCTTTTTTTCATCATCTTTCACTACCTACCTAGTCCTATGGCTATGTAGAGGAGACCCCTGTAGGCATAGCTACCTCTCACTGTGAAGGGGACATTGCATCTTGCCCCTTGCCCTAGTGGTTAAGGGTGCAGGGTTGGGGCCGCCGGTGGGGGTCCGGCTAACACAAAGACCGAGCATTTTGCCAGTAGCTGCGCCTCCCTTTCTCATCATCCCCCTTGGTGACCCCACATCAAGTAGCAGCAAAGGCTATGGCCAACACTCTCCTACACACCACAGACAACCCACTCACTCTCGCACCCGTGTTGGTCATAGACCCCGCTAATACCAATCAGGGGTATCCAGAGGACTATCAGTCTATCACGGTCCGTTGGCACTAAGTGCGACGCAGACATTCATGGGACTTGAACCCACAACCTCCTGAATACCACTTGCGTGCCTAACCAACTTACTTAGGCTGCTGGATTTTCTTTTTTTCGTGTTCTTTCCTTGCAATTTTTTTTTTTTATCTTCTATATATGTTTGTAAGTACCTTTGATATGCCTAGCGGAGCACATTTAAGCAGTGCTAAATAGTCGGTCATACCTCATTTCCAGTGCCTACAACTCTAATAGGGAGGCTCCTGAGTTCAGGACGTCCGTGTTTCCCACAATTGATAAGTGATGTTCGTCAAAATGTCTCCCTCGCTCAATAGGCAGTGCGAACGCTCTAGCCTATGTCACTTGCTTATGTCACTTGTTGAGTTTTTTATTGTCTTGTATGTTAGCGTGTTGACAGCATGACTGTTGTTTCCAGTTTGTGAGTCTGCTTTGAAGCGACCAGTCCAACCTACCATCAAATTGAAACAGCGCTGTATCCTTCATGGGCCGTCACATCTTTTCCTTGCAATTGCCCTGCAGCTTGATGTTGATCTSGCTAATCTCGCTGATCCCCCCGACCTACAGCCAGAGCATCGTAATTATACCAGGGAAGGAGGTTTTACCATTGCTGTCCTAGAAATAGCGAYGAGGAACTGCCAGCTTGAACTACGCCATGCTCTACCAGGTGAGTTGTTTAATCCTCCATCCCGCATCTYTGCCTGCATTGTGCATGGGCCTGGCCATTACATGGCTATTGTACACGCCTCTGACCATTGGGAGGTGTGGAACGACGGTGTCATGGTCCATGCCATGATTGATATTATTGATTTCTTACTCTATGATGCTATTCTCTTACCACATCAAACTGTCCGCAACCTCCTTTATGTCGAAGATCATTCCTCTGGCACCGTAGTGCAGCAGGACAATGTACAGACACTGTGTGACCTTCTCCTTTGCACAGCCACAGACACTGTTGCACTTGGGTGTACTCGCCATCATCTTTGTCACAATCACTACCACGAGATGGTTTCAGCATCCATATGTGTACAGGATTGTCCCTCCGTTCCTGACTGCAGGCACCCTCCTCATCCGGACACTATATGTCCATTTTGTGGCCACGGACGCTATGCTGAATGCATGCTCTTTTATGGGGGCCGTTCTTCCTTTATTCTGGCCTGCAATAGACATGCTATTTGTCAGGAATGTGTGGTTGACATGCTTAATGCCAGCCATCGTGGCAGTTGTTGTTTTGAGAATGCTCAGTTAGGTCTTCCATGCGCTCATCCACCCCATCCTTACAATGTGTGTCCTTTCTGTCGTCAAGGACAACCTCATTCTTGAGCTTTTCCCTGTGTTTAACACCTTCCCCTTCACTCTGCCTCTCTCACAGCGTGCAAGTGGGCTGTTATGGCATACGGGGATGGGGGGCAGCTCGCGCTCAACTTCATCAACGTGGCGAGCTTTGCACGTGAGAGGCACAGTGGAGGTGGAGTTCAAAGAAGAATGAGGAATTTAATGGTTTCAATATGCCCTTGTTTTTTCTTTTTCTTTTTATTTTTGCATGTTATCATTGTGCCCGTTTCTTGCTTTTATTCTTTGTTCCGCAAAGTGCGCTCTTTTAGTTTGTAGTGATGTGACAATATATGCAAGGAAGATGAGCATTAGCGAACTTTGACAATCAAACAGCATCATACATATGAGCCCAGATAGTCTTGACCTCGAACCACAGTAGACTGGCATCATGAGATACACCAAATAAGAACACACCAAGAGTTCAAAATTGACAATGCTGAAGTAGTCCCATCATCATCAACTACGAACTTGAGTTGATATCCTATTGGCGCTCGGCGCCCAGACTACAGGTGGCAGATCCTATCTAGCCTATACTACGAAGCAAAATGATGACATCAACAGCGTTCCCGAAGTACGAGCATATGGCGACCAATGTCGCACGCTTCAGCACCAGGTATGTCTCTCGTAACACTCACA